AAGGTACAGGGTGGGAACTAACCCACACATTTCATCAGCTTTAATTGTCTTGGCAAATGCTGAGGAATGTTGAGTTTGTATATGCGCTATGGGTTGTTTAAGTTTCAAGAGCTGTTCATAGTTGAAAGAAGCTACATCAGTGTTGCCATAGAAGAGTCTTATGGCATCTTGAAACTTGTTCAAATTTTGAACTTTTGATGGTTGTCTAGTTAAAAGAAGTTGCCAATCTTCATGTGTACAATCTCCATTTCTTAGTTGCATAAGGAAATTTTTAAAAGCAACTTGTCTTACATCAGAGCCTTGCACTCTTTGATTGACTGACAATTTTATAACCTTACTAAACATTTGTTTTTTGTTTTGTTTTGTTTTGTTTTTTAAAAATAAATAAAACTCGAGATAAGCAAGATAGCCCTGTTCACCTATAGCTCCTGTCGGTTTGTTGTGATATGATGGCTTATTTCCAACAGGTGGCAATTTAGCAGGATCTCCAAACAAAATGAGAAATATGTCACCAAAACTTGATTTATTTTTCCAGTTGCTTGCCTGTAGCATTTATCAATCCACCCAAGAAATCTTTGTCCAAACATAGAATATTCATCTATTAATAAAAACTTACAACCAGTAAGTTGGATTTGAAATCTTGAAAGAGATTGTCCTTTAAGGTCACTGTTGCCTCTTGAACCAACAGGCAAATTGAGAAGAGAGTGAATTGTTATTGCATCTATGTTGAATGAGGCTTTTCCAGTGGTAGCAGTTACAATGCAAGATTGTCCAAGAAAGTTGTGCAATGCATTATTTTATGAGATAAGATTTACCTGTCCCTGCTTCACCATTTATTATCAAATGCAAAGGAGCTTGAGCATGAGGGTTTTGAAAATGCTCTGGCACTAAATGGAATGCCCATAATTTGCATTGCGCTGAAAGTAGAAATATCTATGTTGTGATTTTGGACTTGTCTTACGAATGTTTGGTTCTTGCTTGCTATCCAACGAGGCATTTTCAAAATCTGTTGAGGAGTATATGGAATTGTGTGAATGTGCCAATTGTGATCATTTGCTAGTCCTTCATTGTCATTTAAGTTGTGATTTGAAAAGTCTGCTAAAATCATCCACTCTTCTCTTTCTTGATGTTGATTTATATCTTCAGAGTGATTTTGCTCTGAGTGA